TTATCACCAAATTGCCGAGAATGGCGAGGGGTGTCGATGTAATTTGGATGATAGTAGACCGTTTGACAAAGAGCGCTCATTTTCTCGCCATTAGTGAGAGTTCTTCTACGGAGAGGTTGGAAGAGATATATGTGAGAGAGGTGGTATCGTGGCATGGGGTGCCGATCTCGATTGTGTCAGATCGAGATGTGCGTTTCACTGCCATATTTTGGAAGAAATTTCATGAAGAGTTGGGTACGAGGCTGCATATTAGTACCGCATACCACCCACATACTGACGGACAGAGCGAGCGGACGATTCAGATGCTCGAGGACATGCTCCGAGCATGTGTGTTGGATTTTCGCGGAAATTAGGACATGTATTTGCCCTTAGCGGAGTTCTCCTACAACAACAACCATCATTCGAGCATTGGTATGCCACCCTTTGAGCTGTTGTATAGGAGGAGGTGTCGGACTCCCATTTGTTGGGTAGAGGTTGGGAACGAGTGATGGGTAGCACGGAGATCGTGCTTTAGACGACAGAGCAAATACAGCAGGTCAGGCAGAGGTTGTTGACCGCTCAGAGTCGCCAGAAGAGTTATGCGGATAGGCGACGATCCGAGCTTGAGTTCCAGGTCAGTGATTATGTTCTTCTGAAGGTATCTCCTTGGAAAGGAGTGATCCGATTCAGGAAGAGGGGCAAGCTAGGGCCCCGGTATATCGGGCCATTCAGAGTGATCGCGAGAGTGGTCAGGGTAGCGTATCGCTTGGAGCTACCTGCAGAGTTGGAGCGGATTCATAATACATTCCACGTGTCTCAGCTGAGGAAGTGTATAGCCGACGAGTTGGCGGTAGTGCCGTTAGAAGACATTCAGGTGGATGCGAGCCTCAACTACGTGGAGAGACCAGTTGCGATTATGGATCAGAAGATCAAGGTTCAGAGGAACAAAGAGGTGCCTCTGGTGCAGGTTCAGTGGCAACATCGGAAAGGATCCGAGTTGACTTGGGAGCCAGAGCGGGAGATGCGTGAGCAGCATCCGGAGTTATTTCAGGGATGAGACTTCGAGGACGAAGTCTGATTCAAGTGGGGGAGAATTGTAACATCCGGAATTTTAGTTATTATATTTATTCTTTTAAATTTCAAGTTATGTGGAAGGACTCGGCGAGTAGATGCGTAGACTCGCCGAGTAGAGACGCGAATCATTATCCGGGTGGACGGATGGACTCAGTGAGTCGCCCCGAGGACTCGGCGATTCCATGCTGTTTAATGAAACCCTAATTCCTCGGGTTTGGGGCCTATTTAAAGGGCCTTATGGCTATCCTTTGCGGCTACCAGACCCCAGAGAGAAACCCTAAGTGTGCTAGAATGTTTGTGAGAGGGAAAGGAGCTATTTCTTGATCTTTGTTGGTGTTTTTGCAAATAGATGAGGACCAATACAAGAGGAGGCTGAAGAGGGTGCTAAGTTAGTGATTCTAGAGCTTAGACACTTCATTTTGAGGTATCCATTCGAACCCTCCTTCAGTTTATGATGTGATTCTTAGAGTTAGGGCTTTTTAGCCCCATTAGAGGATAATTATATGGAGTAATTGGTCCCTTCTCGTGTTGGTGCTGTAGATCTGGACCCAAAGAGGTCCATACACCCTTTCCCCTTGAGCTTTATGAGCATTAATGGAGGTTATGAACTTAGGGTGTCACCTTAGAGGCCATATCTTCAAATAAGACCTTCGAGCCTTTGCATGTGCACCAAGATGTTAGATTTAAGTGATTATAATGCCTTGGGAAGCTGGATCTATGGTTTAGAGAAGCGGATCTGACCTCAAGAGGTCAGTTCAGCTTGAGCATGGCATGGACTAGCCGAGTCCTTTAGCCGACTCGACGAGTAGGACGAGGGTTTTCCCGACAATCACACAGTTGGTGACTCACTGCGTTGGGGAAGTGACTCGGTGAGTCAGAGGGAATTAGAGGACAGAGTGCATGATGGTACTCGCCGAGTCAGGAGTCGGACTCAGCAAGTTGGGTCTGGACATTTCACAGATTGTAGGCAGTGATGATTTATAGAGTTAAGGTTGACTTAGTGAGTCGAATAAAGACTAGGAGAGTGAAGAGCATGTGTGGACTCGCCGAGTCACAGTTGCACACTCAGCGAGTTTGGTCAAGGTTAACCGTTGACTTCGTTGACTTTTAGGGTAAGTCAATGTTTGGACCTTAGAGTCATAGGAAGGGTAGGATAGTCTTTTACCCTTCCTAGTGGATGTATTGAGAGGAAGAGATTAGCCTAGTCTTGAGGGTTGTATTAATTAGGGTATTTATTTCATGTGATTAGGCAGAGGCTAGACCAGAGTTACCGAGTCATAGATTTACTGAGACATCCAAGGTGAGTCTTCTCACTATACTTTACCTTGAGTAGGTAAATAGAGTTATGTGATACAGTGTTTTATATATTGTTTGTTGCACTGCATTCTTCTATGTGATTTATGCTGTGCATGCTTGCAGAGTTAGACCCTGAGGGTTCACAGAGTTTGGGTGCACGGACCCACAGAGTTATAGCCTTGAGTGGCTAATATGTGTTATATGTGGTATTTTGTGGAACTCACTAAGCTTTGTGCTTACAGTGTTTTGTGTTATGTGTTTCAGGTACTAGTGAGGATCGCAGGAAGGCGTCGGCCTGATCAGTACACACACGGGATTTTTATGCTATGAGATCTTGGGATTGATATATGTTATGAATTCAGTTTCAAACAATGATGTTTTTATGAATAATAAATGAATTATGTTTTTATAAATTGCGAAAAAATTGCTTTTTGTGAATTTACGTTGTTACACCATGACATCGTGGTCCTCGACGAAATCCCGTATTCTTCAAGTTGTGGTTTGATAACCATGGCATGGTAATCAGGAATCCACATTTTATCAAAACACAAAAGTTGTCCAAAATTTTATCTAGTTTTCAATACATTTTGAATCTCATCATTCGGAGTTACGACTAATGAGATATGCCTAAAACACTGACTAGGGGTCAAGCTGTCCAAAAACATCCTTTTTGTGTGTTTTTAGCTCTTTTCTCCTCCTTTTGCATTGCAGCCCCCATTTTAACTGTAGATAAACATTTAAAAGCATATTAAGTGTCTTTTAGTTCTAAATAAAATAAAAACATAATATAAAATAATATGAAAACATCATAAATATATGTAAAAAATAGACGTTATCAATTTACCCCACACTACTCTTTTGATTACCCCCAAGCAAAACTGGTTTTATTATTATCATACGAAGACTTTATATACCAACATCATACAAGACAATCCATTTTGAGCCTCTCCATTACTCCTAGACTGCAACGCATGTATTTGTGTCTAAATTTTCCTAAGAACCTCCCCAATCCTAAATACTCACAATCTTCATAAACACTTGTCCACTTCTTTTGAACAACACTCATAACCTCAAGGTATTTTTAGTTAAACCCCCGAGCATACATATGGAAAAATAACATAGAAATAAAAATTACAATAATAATAATAACTTGTCAATTTTCTCCTTATTCTTGAGTCTTTGATAATTTGGAGCTTTTGTTCATGATATTTCTTAATCTTCATAGCTTTGTAGACTCTTATTTCTCAAAATTTTGCAACTCTTTTTTTCTTTTCTATTTTTTCTATTTTTTTCTCACTTTTTTCACTCAAAACTAAAAAAACCCGAAAAAACATATATGCTTAAGTGAGGGAATTTAACTTCAACCCTTATTGGTTAGACGTATTAGTCTAATATGTAATGACTACATAAGCTTTCTTGGATACATTTTTAGTACACGGTGCTAAAGATATTATGACCCTCAAACTAAGCAAGGTCCTGTTTTTGTTCCTTGATTTCACTAGGACAAGGAAGCCACAAATCCACTATAACATATGTTGGCACAAATAAACATTAAAACTCGCATCGGATCGTCCCATACAGCACTAGAAACCTAGATCTCAACATAACAATACAACAATATTTTTAACTAGATTAATTTTTAGAGTATTATTTCAATTCAATTTTTAGATTATCAGTTCAAATCTTTCTAATAATTTTTCCAAATCCTAGTCATTTTTTTTTTATTTTTATCAGAAAACTTTTACTCCTATATTTAACCCCTACCCCACATTTAAATGATGCAATGACCCTATTACATACTTAAACAATTAAAGAACATAAAATTAACGAGGAAGAATAGGAACATAATCCCCTTAGGTAGTAATCGTGAGATAAATTCTAAAACTTGTGTCATAAAGCTTGAACTTCTCGTATAATGGCTGGCAATAGTACTTATGGGCTCTCTTTGTGTGAATGTGAATGTAAATGTGCCGGATCAAAATGAACCAAAGAACCATCTTCAAAAAGTGTGCTGATCATGGGCCACGACGTGGGAAAGCAATGCCACGTCATGGTGTCAAGGTAGAAGTCATGTTGATCGCGGAAAATAAGAACACCACATCGTGGTTTGAAGATGCCACGATGAGTGTATAGAGCTAGTAAAATTCAATCACGATAAAAACAAATTCCACGACGTGGTGATGATGGCCACGTCGTGGTGACTTCTCAGTACGCCAATTAGATTCAAATTATTCATCATTTCTTCTTAATGGCTTAGGATCATTCCTAATGTCTTCTTTCTGAACAATATCATCAAAACTCTTCTCTTCACTAGGTGGGAACTACACACTTATTCAAAAACATGGTCTTCAATTATAATCTTCAAAATTTACACAACTTTTTGTAATTAAGCTCCTTCACTGCTTCACTTTCATTCAATACTATGAAATAAGATCAACGACTAAAGGAACACAAGATCATTTGGTTAAACTAAAATAATAAAAATTAAAAACTAAATGAAATCAAAAGGAAACAAAAATGCAAACTCTTAAAAACCGGGTTGCCTCCCGACAAGAACTTCTTTTCTAGGGTTTGTGAGTTGTACTCCTTCCCTTCTACTTTGCGGCAGGTATAAATGTAACCTCCCCATTCTCCATCATCTTAAGCCTTGTTCATTTGTATGCAACCCTTCTATTGAATTCCTTTCTCAAACTTTTTGGCATTTTTGGGTTGACATCTTTATTATGCTTCCTCTTGGGTTTTTTCTTCATTCGCATGCCTCTAGCTTTTGTCTTGTCTCTTTTTGGGTTTTTCTTGTCAAAATGAAGCCCGTCATTATCTTCTTCCTTAGATTCAATTGGCTCTGAGACTTGATATCGCGGTCTTTTAAAAGAAAACACCTCGAAAGGAAGCAGTGGTTGATATGGCTCAACAACATAAAAATTCACTTCCTTTTCTGATTTCTCTTTAAAGTCTTTATGATCCATGAACTTTGCATTTCCTTGCTTCACCAGATTTTCGTTAGCACAATATTGGAAAGAAAAAGGAGGTTGATATGGCTCAAAAATAGAAAAATCATAATCTTCCTTAAGTGCCCACGGTGTGGCACTATCACCTCCACATCGTGGTGACTTGGCAAAATCACAAATCCTTTCTTCTTTTTCTCTTCCTTCAAGTGACTGATTGGACTACTGATCTATTATATCAAGGAGCCTCATATGCTCTAATTCCTCCTCCTCTTCTATATAAAAATCCACGACTTAATAGATTGGGATTGGCTCAGATTTTCTTGAAGGTGAATCCGGTAGCTTTATTTGTTGTCGGATCCTTCTTTGTCAAGGGTTGTGATACTCTCTTGAATGCTTAGCGAATTCTTCAATCAAAGATTTATTTGTTGTCAGCTCCTTCTTTGTCATGGGCCCTTGTTAGTCTAGAAGTTGGTGAGTGCACACATTGACTCCATCATAACATATTGAGATTTCTTGTTGCACATTGAAGTCATGTTGAGGGGAATGTCTATTATAGTTTATATGTTTGTTTTCTATAATGTAATCTGAACTTTGTAAAGTAGTATGTTTGAATCATAAACTATATCTATTATAGTTTATATATTTGTCTCTGTATTGTAAGTTGAACTTGTAAAATAGTATGCTTGAATCATAAACTATACCTATTATAGTTTATATGTTTGTTTCTGTATTGAAATTGTCAATTGGAAATTATTTGAAATCTATTGATTTTTAACACATGAATTTATACTTATATAAATATAATATTTATATAATTTTTTATTAAACATACAGTCGAATAAACAATTCTACTCCAAGCCCAACCAAACAATGAACATGAAATGGAGTCAAATAATCAATTCTTGGTCTGTTGAACCCTAATTATATAATTTATACATACATAAATATATAATTTCATTGATAGTAATAATTCAATAAATATTGAAAATACTTTTTTTTTAATCACACAAATATTTTTGTGTTTTAATCTTGTATTTCTCCCCTTAAAATAGTGAAAATTTATGAAAAAGTTGGGGTATGAACTCACTTGATGAGTAGTGATTCCGGAAACATTTTGTTTCTAGGAATGATTTTTCTTGACAAAACCGAGAGCTTTTGACGAAAAACCGGGCTTTATGCGGGCAGAGTTTCGACTGAAAAAGATGATTTTCTCGAGGACTTCGGGACTCTTGGCTTTCTTCGGGTGTTAGGGGTGTATTCTAGGCCTCGAGGGGGGGGTGTTAAAAGTAGCTTGAAAGGGTGTTTAAGATGAGAGAGGATTTGAAAATGGTAAACCAAACCCGGAGGCCTCGCATCCTATTTATAGGAGGCTGAGGTCCAGTATTACGCTAAGCGTAATTTCTTGGTACATTGGGCGTACTAATGTAAACCTCAGTACGTTGGGCGTACTTCCCATACGTGTGGTGTACTAGTTTTATTCTTATCCGAACTTCAGACGTGGCGAGGCTACAAGATATGCGTCAAGTCTAGTATGATTACGCTGGGCATAATGTTCTTGTACGATGGGCGTACTAATTTGAGCAGCAGTACGATGGGCGTACGTCTCCTACGCGGGGCGTAGTCCATTTGATCAATATCCGAAGTCTTGGATGTGTCTGATATGTGTTGCATGCAAGGGTAAGGGAGGCGTGGGAAATCTGAGGCCTAGCTATTGAGTACGCTAGGCGTACTTCTTTTACGCGGGCCACATTTCAATTTTTTAAACTTCAAAATTTTGTAACTTTCATATACGAGCTTTGTTTTTGATGTTCTTTATATCCACACGTAGATGATACCATGCTCTACAACTTTCGTTTAGACTTGGTCGACTGATTTTGAATTTATTTTTAACAGGCCGGGACAGCAAAGTCCATTAAAAATTCATAATTTCTTTATCCGACGTCCGTTTTTGTCTGTCTTTTTATGCACGCTCTCTGATACTTGTTTAGGTTGTTTTGGCCAAAATTTTCTCGATCTAAATTTCGAGTTTCAGGTTGCATACTACAATGCCAAATCTTAGAAAAATCATAACTTCATCACACGAAGTCAGATTTGGATGTTCTTTTTATGCACGCTCTCGGTTTGAGGGATTCTTCAACTTTCGATATAACTCAGATTTTGGTGTTCTTTACATTTCCGAAATCCTTGTCACGACCACTAAGACTTTCCTCATAGATATCATGTTTATTTAATAATTTATTTTTGAGGATCAAATAAGTAAATGCACATAGTGTTCAAGAATTTCTCTTTATTACTTTAAAAACTAGTTACAAGTTAATCTAAACTATTACATTGATTTGAAATAACGGGTCGTTACTATACACGAAACCAAAACATAATTGTAAGCACAATGCTTAGTGACGTTGTAACATCGCAAAAATTTTAGCAAATTAAAACTTTTCAAAACAACCCATTTATTAAAAAAAGTGTTTACAAAAACATTGTATCCAAAACATGATTTAAAATTAGAGTCTCCCAAGATCCAATGTATTGTAAAACCAAGGATGTGTACGTTCATGCCTTCACCTTCCCACGAATCATCTGAAGAACCTGAAACCATAAAAAAAAACAGTAAGCACAGAGCTTAGCGAGTTCCCCCAAAGTACCAACACACAAGCAGATGACATACACAAATAACAACATGTATTGGGTCAACAACTAAGAGACTGGATTACCCCTGAGCCCATAGTATGATTTTGTCTTGCCTAACTGTCCATAGCTCATATCTAGCCTGCTCTTGAGCCTATAGCATAATTCTTACTTACCCCAGGGCCCACAAGTTATGTCTAGCTTACTCCAACGTAAAGGGTTATCGGACTGGAAAAACAATGTTCAACCATCAGTACTAGTCTGGTATACCAACCGTGTTCTCAACTCATATCTGGAATGCTACTGAGCCCTCAGTATGAGTTTGGCATGTCATACCAAGCCCTCAGCTCAAATATGGATTGCTCCAATACCCTCAAGCCCTCAGTACGAGTCTGGCATACCAACCAGGTCCTCAACTCGTATCTGGAATGCTCCTGAGCCATCAATATGAGTTTGGCATGCCCTACCTGACCCTCAAGTGATATCTGGAATACTCTAGGGTTTGTTGGCTACAACACGAAGCAGTACAACCTTAACCCAACACAATATGCCAACAAAGAACAAACATATACAGGTAATCATGCAAACAGAATCACGGGTAGTCCTGTTGATCTACCAGACTTGCATGTATATGTATTCCTTACTCAGCATTTCAACAATATCAGGTTATTCAACCAATACGTTGACCTTAGAGCCTTTAACTCGAAAGTATAGTGAGTCAAACTCACCTCTCACTTCTGAATCATACAGATGATCCGTGGCTGCTGGTGGATACATCCCCGAACCGTTAATAAAAATACACCACCCCATCAACAGTTAATCCCACGATTAATCTTTGACTACAGATCCAAAAAATTTCACATGCTATTAGATATCAAAATGATAACCCATCAAAATCTAGCCCCTGACTCACACTATGAGTCCAAATTAGGGTAAAAGACCTTTTTACCCTTCTTGAAGCTTAACCTAGAGCCAAGGCCTAACCTAGATGACCAAAGACACAAAATCGAAAAATAAACATCTAAGGCCCAAATTTGGCCCAATTTTCCAAATTGGACCCATTTCCAATCGTGGGCCTTTACCCAAGAAAGTCCACCAAATCATAATAGACCAAACATAAAATCCAGGTGGCCCAACACGAGCAAGCCCAAAACCAAAGCCCAAAATGAAAAGGCCCAAGTCTGCTGAGTACATGGTGCATACTCAGCCTGTACGCTTTATGTACAACATGGGAGGCTTGTACGCGCAACCTATATACTTGTACGCCCAACGTACTCACCAGCCCAAAACCAACTTTCCAATTAAGCACTTAATCTATTAAGACTTGCATCCAAACTTAGATATGACTTCTCCATGGTGGTTTACCACATAAATTTGCCAACTTTATGTGCATGCATGGCTAAATAGGATTCTAGAGCTCAAAATAGCTTAATACTTGACTTAATACATGCATCGAACAAAAACCACCATAAAGTTTGCACCTTTATGCCCAAGGAACCCATGTTATAACCAGATCTACAATTACAAGTTTCACTAATGACTTAAACTCCCAATCATTAACCTAAAGGGTCAAAATGACCAAAAACGAACCAAGAAGATGATCTATGAAATGAAAAGGCAAGGTTAGGACTTTATACCTCCCACGCTACCAAAAGGAGATGCAAATATTGGATCTTAAAGCTTTCCTTCAAAAAATAATTCTTCAAGTTCCTCCTTCTTCATCTAGATCCACAAAATTAACCCCAAAACCTCACCCAAGGCTCAAACACCCAACAATGGAGGCTAAGACTCGATTTTAGGGATTTTAGGGATTTTGGGGATTTAGAGGCTGATAAGCAGGCCAACCCTAAGGAACAAGGATGGTTAAATAGGGTACATATGATCAAAATTGAAGATTTAGACACTCCTCGTACACTCAGCGTACTCCTCATATGCCCACCATACGAGGCTGAAGCTTCGTGACCAGGTCTGCTAATTATGCTTAATGTACGCCAAGGTATGAACCATGTAAGTTCCCTTGCACGAGTACGCCCTACGCACTCCCCATGTATGCCCCACATACTAGGGCTTTTCCCAAAACCCTAAATTCTTCCGAAGGCCATAACTTCTTCATTCTAAGCCTGTTTCCGATGAACTTTATAGCCACGGAAAGGTAACACGAAGTCCGACACTTCTAGTAACCCATCATCGCCTTAAAACTCCTCGAACAAAACCCAAAATTCATAAAGGACTGAGATAAAAATTTATGATTATGCCCTTGGGCTCCAAAACACCATAAAACACTCGGATCACTTAGACTTTAACATCCTTATCTAAAAAGGGCAAAATCCATCTTCCCCAAGATCCCAAGCCTTAAGATAACCGATGATCGGGTCGTAGCCCCGAATAATGAAGCGATTTGAAGTTGGGTGTTACAACTCTCCCCTACTTAAATTCAATGTAGTCCAAGAAATCGTTCCTTATCATTCTCGGCATGCTCGACATCCTGAGAGGCATAAACACAACCTTGAACAAACCATTTCCTTCCTTGTAACATCCCAAAATTGAGACCTAAATTTTTTTTGTTTAATTATGCTACTTATAAAAATGGTTTACGGAAAACATCATTGCTATCATTTCAAAACATCAAATAACAAATCACAAGTCTCAAAAACCATGACATCAAATAGTAAAATATCATAGTACAATCCCAGGGTTCTCAAAGTGAAAAATCATTTGTGTGCGATACGCTGCTACCTTGCCGGCTCCTTCCCCTTAGCTAAAGAGGTACCTGAAACCAAAACTAAAATTGTAAGCATGAAGTTTAGTGAGTTCCCCTAACATACCACATACCATACAACATACATACTGTCGGACAATTCTAGGGTGCCCGACCTACCCATGTCAAGCCATTATGAGGTGTTAACCTACCCATGTCAAGCCATTATGGGGTGCTGACTTACCGGTGTCAGGCCATTCTGGGGTGCCTACCTACCCATCGGTCTATCTCACCCGATCATGGGGACTATTTCACCGCTAATACTATCACGTAATAACATATCATAATCTTGTTGTCAGACATATATGGGGTGTCCGACCTACACTTCGGTCCTAGTGACCGAATTGTTAGACGATTCCCCTCCTACTACCACTATCACATAGAACATATCATACTGGCACATAGAATGCATCAAGTAATAGCAAACCAGCTAATTATTACAAAGACAATCATCTCAAATGTAATCAACTACTAGTGGGTCGAACTTGTTGCCTTAGACCCACTTCTACTGGAAGGTAGCTCACCTTGTAAAACTGCACGTTGAATCTCGCAGAAGAAATCTCTAACAGCTACTCTGATGACTCTCGGCTATCATAGTCACATTAATACTCAATCAGATTCTATAACATTATTCAGGGTAAAATTATCATTTTACCCCTTGGTCCAATTGGGACATACACCAGTCCTAATTCTAGCTTATTAGGCCTAACTCTCATATGGCCCATCAAAGATTCCCTAAGAGCCTATTAATTGCCCAAATTCTGAATTGGGCCTTACCCCCCCCCCCCCTCCCCTCAAATGGGCCCAAAAATTCCAATTCCAAATATAATAATTCCCAAGGGTCCAATATTTACCCAAAAGGCACAATACTCAAGTTCCAGATTCCTATGTCCAAAGCTATACTTTACAGTGTGCCATGGGGCCTAAAAGTCCAGGCCCATTCTCTAAAAGCCCAAAAGCCCAACTTTTCCAATATGCATGCGTACGCGCGGCGAACCTGGCACGTACGCCCAGCCTACGCTGGTCTTGACCAAAACGGGGAGTTGAACCAGTATGCACAATGTACTGGCCAACTTCCTTGGGACTTTATTTGTGGCTTAATATGTTAAGTCTATATGTCTAGAAGGTAGATCCATGTCCTTTAAAACCTCCTAAGCCATAAAGTCACAAACTTTATGTGCTTGCATGCATGGTTGGGGTCAAAACATGATTTTGGTCCATTAAACAAGCTTCAAGACTA